TGATGTTAGGTCGTAGAATAACATTACAAGTTTATCTATCGATAGTATTGAGTACATTAAAGTTTAGTCCTAACTAAACTGAAGTAAAAAACAAACGTACACAGGTTAAAGTGTTAATTTATCTTTTTATCGAACTTAGGCCTAACATAAGTTAAAGTTTTATAAAGTACGGCATACACATTTCGCTGTCAACAATTACAATTCGTTTCTTATATTTAATGTTATATTTAAAGAAGTACTGTTACGATAAATATACTAATTTGGCCAGAAATGTTTTGCGGGTCTCTGCTAGTTTAAAATTAATATTTTGTTCCCTGGTGGCTCAATGATAAGCTTGAGGACTTAAAACTCCAATAAAATTCAGTTTTGACATCCGCAGTAAACCGATAGAGGCACAGCGAGGATAGCCCACTTGTAAGGCTTTACAGAAAACTTACAAAAAAAAAAGAACAAAACTTAATTTTTAGGGAAATTAATGACGGTAAATAAGAAGAAACACCTCGATGTTACAATACTACACACTCATAAGCTTTGCATACATATTTATTACGTTATTCTTCACGTATGTTAAATACGTTTGTTTATTTGTTTTTAATTATACACAAAGCAACACAAGGGCTATCTGTGCTCTGCCCACCACGGGTATCGAAACCCGGTTTCTAGCGTTGTAAGTCAGCAGACATACCACTTGGGAGCTCACGCATATTAACAAAACAGCTAACTTTTAATTATTTTGACAAGGTTAGAACCGTGTATAATGACTTAAAGCTGTTTATATAGACAAAAATATTCCACACCATAACATAAATTGTGCAACAAATATAAAAGCGGTAGAATTTTAATTCTGCGAATAAAGGGTAAAAGAAACTCCTTCCTCAGCCTGTGAATGACCCCATAATTACAATTGCCACTCCCAAGTCTCCAAATTCTTGGGTGCAGCTACACTGGAATGGGACAGAACCAGTATGTGTTTTTTTTTTGTCTGTTTTTATGCAGTTTTGTTACACGATATATTAACTCGTGAAAATACTTACCATTGTGGCCCTTTTTCTTCCATCACAGTTCCGCACTCCCCCCCTCCCCCTCCTTATTCTAACAATACTGTTTTCTTGCCCTGCAAAGATGTATAGCAGGAAATGATATACTGTATCATTGTGTCAAATACCTGTTTAAGTGACCTAGCGTAAAGCGTGATGAGCTTCGGGTGTTTATATACATGACATTATAAAAGGTAACATTTATCTCACCAAAAACTGATCGTGTATCAAAGGGTCGGTACTGTGAATATATCAGGATTTGTTTATATGATTAAATCCAACTCGACTCACAAACTTGAGGGTTTCCTAAAAATGCCACCTGACGGTAACATGTTTTTAAAGCATATCCTTTTAAAGTTTGATGGTATCACTCAATGTTACAACCTAAGACTTATTCAAATACATGAATCCAACTTTTGCCGAAATTTATTAGGACGATGGTTAGGTTAGGTTACGATATTTCAAATTTATAAACAGTCAGTCATTGATTTAAAGTGACTTATCATTAGTCACATTTTATGGGTGACTAACTACCAGACACACACACATTATATCACTGACTATTACCAGAGACACGCATTACATCACTGACTATTACCAGACACACACACACATTATATCACTGACTATTACCAGACACACATATTCTATCACTGACTATTACCAGACATACACACACATTATATCACTGACTATTACCAGACACACATTATATCACTAACTATTACCACACACACACATATATATATAAACTGATATTCATTAACTTTCTTTTGATATAAATTCAAGATCATTAAAACATATGACTTTGACTTTGGGGTATGTGTCTGGTAATAGTCAGTGATATAATGTGTGTGTGTCTGGTAACAGTCAGTGATATAATGTGCGTGTGTGTGGTAATAGTTAGTGATATAATGTGTGTGTGTGTGGTAATAGTCAGTGATATAATGTGTGTGTGGTAATAGTTAGTGATAGAATATGTGTGTGTCTGGTAATAGTCGGTGATATAATGTGTGTGTCTGGTAATAGTCAGTGATATAATGTGTATGTGTGTGGTAATAGTCAGTGATAGAATATATATTTGCAGCATTGAACTATAAGTAAATCCATATAACTGTAATGCATATGATACCCCAGCAGTTTACCTGTGATATAAAAGCATGTTACCAGACTGACTTTGTATGGTGTTCTATTTTTTATGTGTTTGTTATACTGAAGTGTTCCTTTCTCAACTATCATA